GGAAAAGGAATATAATAACACGCTACCTTTCCTGGATGTTTTAATATCTAAGAACGATACTGGATATGAGACTCAGGTGTATAAAAAACCAAGACACACCAATAGATATTTAAATTCAAATCAAATCATAATATTAATGTAAAAAAGGGAATAATTAAATCCTTATACGATAGAGCCAAAATTACTTGTTCTAACGAAAATTCGTTCTTGGAGGAGAAACATTTGTTAACATCTGTTTTATTAAAAAATGATTATCCTTTATCGTTTATAAATAAGGAATTTTCAACAATCGATCTAATAGAACAGAACAACTTAGAACGAGATCCTACAGCATACACAAGGAATAATATGAGGAAAATGACAATACCGTACATAAAAGGATTATCAGAAAAACTTAAAAGGATACGAAATAAATTCAACATTTCAACAACATTCAAAACAACAAACACGTTGAGATCTATTTTGTCCAAAACCAAACCTAACAATGAACAAGAAAGGACAAAGAATTGCATTTATAAAATACCTTGTGAATGCGATCAGTTTTATTTAGGTGAATCATCAAGGCCATTAAATGTTAGAATAAGTGAACATCAATCTTATATTAAAAATAGAGAATTTGATAGATCTCAAATCTGTAAACACGCATGGGATAATGAACATAGGGTTCAATGAAATAATTCAAATGTAGTCCTAAAAGAAACGTAGTAAGTCAGTAACATATAGATGATACATCATTTATGTTTTTTTAAATAACGTAACATATAAAATCAGAATTTTGATGTTTGTTGAAGGTAAACTAAATTCACGAACAAATACTTACAATGTCGGGATAGTATTATGAGGTTTTTTTCCTGGTTTTTCCCTCATAATTTACTATGGAATCACTAACAGGAGAATTTTACTGTCATCATGTCATGTGTTTGTCTTTTTAAAGACAAATTACATGCTATGATTTTTTCTGACGGATATTCTCAAGTTAAAGTTGATTTCATGTAACTCAACAATAATGGCAATATCATTTTAAAGTCATCTACTTTAAAATGCATAATGTATGTCTGAATTGTCAATATAAATGAGTCAGATAAAATTAAATTATTACAAGAATTTTTCACTATGTAACAAAAAACAAAATTTGTTTAATTTACTGTTTGTGTTTTGAGAACGATTTCCGAAGTGGAAATTGAAACGTCAATAAACGTATTTTTATCTTTAATTGTGGCTTATTCCCAGTTTAACAGTAATTAATCTATTTCTACAATGGCAACTTGGTCCAGTAGTTTTCTTTTGAATTAGTTTTTTTTGCCGAATTAATATTTTCTTCTCCTCTAGCCTGTTTACTTTTCATAACGTTTCGTTTTCAGTTGCTTTCCATCCTTATCCGTTTTTTGCCTTTTTTCTTAACGGTTTGAATGTTAGAACCCGGAACATCTGATCAGAATCAGATTCATAATGCAACGATCTTTTTTACACTTTTATCGTACAGTCGACACCCTACTGCAGTGTTCAAAACAAATAATAATTGAAATGCTATGCGCTATGGTATTCGGTTTGTCATCGCCCGTGGCCTGATTCTTCGATGTTGCCATTGGTGGTAAGAAACAGTCATCACCTGGAGTTGACCGTAAGCAACCATCTTGCACCTAAGTACTCGTATTTATTGATGTAGTCAAATCCTTAGACCATATATTTACCTTAATATTTATTGGAGATGGCTGATTCTTGCAACAAAAGATGTGCAAACGTTGTTCATATACGATGCACATAAAAACTGAATCAGTTTAAGTTAAACTACCAACATACCTTATTTGTGCGAATTTCAACAGCCTACTCTAATTACGTTTTTTTTTTATGGCTCTATACAAATATGTAGTAACATTTTATAGATACGTTTCTCTCTTTAAACCTCGATAAATCAAGCATAATAAGTAGTCATGATTTTCTGCACCTGTGTGTCACTAAATAAAACTGAAAGCGATTTTATATTTCTTTTTTATATCTCTACAAGTTAAATACAAAAAACACATTCGTGATTTTCTGCACCTGTCATCAAATGAGACTGAAGGTAAGGGTTAACACCCGCCAAGATGTGCGTTCGACGCCGACGGTCCCAATTAGCAGGTTAACTGGGTTGCGATTAATTAATGTGGAATGAAATGTTTAACTTTTCACGGGGGAGTTTGTGGCACATCGCGATGTAACTTATCCAAGTAAAATATTGACAGTAGAACTTACGGCAGCAGCGGTTACGTTATAAACAGTTTAACGTTTCATTAGCGATCATTTTACAAACGGTACGCTGCGGTTTGCAGTTAGTTCGGTAACTAGCCATTCAGCTGAAAAGTCGAAAATAAAAATATTCGGTAATTTAACTTTAAAAACTTATTTTCTGTAAGAAATAAAAGACATGCTTGATGTTGTAACGATTCGTTTAATCTATTGTGCCTTGTTGTATCTATTATTTTTGGATATAAGGATCCTAGTATACTCTATATTAATCTCTTATAAAGTACTGTTAAAATCTATCTTGTTACATCATTTTTAATATCATTACCTCATGTGAGGTGTTCCTCTCTTATATTCACATAATCTCTACTCCCAATACAGTATCTGCATATTTTGTCTCCTATCGTGAGTCCTAGTCCAATGATATGCTACATAACGTTTATAGGCGTTATGCATTACTTAACTATGGTTTTGTGGGTATCTTTAATAATAGATTAAGACATATCTGCAAAATGCTTTAAATTGTACGATGGTGAAGACACAGAAGAGTGGCAAGCGATTTAAGAGCAAGAGGTACTAAACTACCAGAAAGATGTGAAATAATTCGTCGATCGTATAAAAACAACTTAGATCAGCAGTTTCGTCCACCCTCATCTGTAGGAGCTTCTAGAGTTCATCATTTTTTAAAATATCGTAATTATTAATCGACGCCTTTGTTTCGAAGAAATTGTATCTCCGTTTCTTGTACAATTTTTTGCTTCCTACGTCTCAGTAGGTATTTGATCGTATGTTTCACTTATAAAAATATTACTCCGATCGTTGTTATCACATACAACTGTTTGCAGATCATGATTAAATCATAACTTAACGGTCTTCTATGGCACATAGACTTTCTTGCACGTCTTAATGAACAATTTAACCAATTTACGCGTTATCATTTATCGCGAATAATAGTGTGTTTTATAATTCGAAGCTCACAGAAAATCGGTTTTTGGACGTTTTGTTGGTGTGCTCGTCGCATTCTGTCAATATAATCACTGCTAGAACACGTTTTGGTCTACTTTAAACGGTTGTTAAGCCATATGTCGAACATTGGCAATATATTGGTGACCAGAATCCGTTTTGTATTGGCCGAAATCGGTGTGTGATCCTAACATGTTCATTAACAGTGTATACGAGTATATGCACATAAATAAGAGATAAAAGGTGTATATATAAAATTAGATCAAGATAAAAATAAAAATGGGTCAGCTACACACTTGGCGACGTCAAGCGCATTTGGTACAACAGCGCAAACCAGATGAGCATGAAGTTGGGCAAGAACAGACCAGAAGCTGTTCTGTTATTTCCTCTTCTCCATAGACTTATAGGACCGAGTTGCAGGGGAAACCTCATTTTATCCGGTTGTATCTGGATCTTGTCACCCCAGCACGAAGTTTGTTCAGCGTCATCCATGTCGCCCATCCTTCTTTATATCCAGATGTGAGGTTCTTTTAGGTTCCTTATAAATAATGCCCATAACCGCATCGAAAAAGGTATTACAAAACACTACTGGAAGAAACAAGACCAGAAGATAGACAAGGCCAAGAATAAAAAAGTACTAACTTGGTTAAAAAATGTTCGTGATCCTGATTCTGAGGGAATATCTGCAGAACTCCTAAAAAATGGATCCTCTAGATTAATAAAAATAATTACGTTGTTATTTAACATATTATACATACATAAATGCAGATGATCAAATTGTTATTGCATAGAACAAGGAAGAATTAAAATATATGTCAAGGAAACTTATGGAAGAATACAGAAAGTGGTGTCTGGAAGTCAACATGAAAAAAACGCGGTATATAGGAAGGGAAGAAGCTAGACTGGGCTTCTACATAGAAACGGAAACGGGGAAGACCGACAACATTTCTTGTTAAAGTTAAAAGTTATCAAAGTTCTTGACCTAGTCTAAAATTTGGAAAAAAATTCGTCGTTCTGGGGCTAGATTCGGTTATAAAGAGGAATAACGATGTGCAGCTACAAATCTCAATATTTATATTTGGTGTAGATATATTATAAAGAATTGCATTTTTTTAAAATACTCTTTTTGAACCATCTAGGCACAAGATTTGAATTTTGCAACTTGCCTATCTTGTAATAAATTTAATTTAATGTTAAATTTTATAGACAACCGATAGTTTTTGGGAAAATGTTGGGAAATACGTCGTCTCAGCCCCTTTTCACTCCTATGAAAATGAAGCATAAAAAAATTCTTGACATGGAAAAGACATTCTTTTTTGACAAACTTTGGAACTGAAACGAAATGTAAAATCAATTTATAGATGATGTTAAATAATACACTTTGCATTACTATGGAATATATTTCTTGAATAGCCTATGATTTGTACAAAAATTAATTCAAAATAATATTAATTAAATTAGTTTAATGAAAATTAATAATTTACAAATTATTGTACATCATCGGTTACAATAAATATTTCAACGGTTGTTTGGGAAATGTTCGCCGAAATTTTGCTATAAAAATTAAATAAAAGTGAAGTTTCATTAGTTGAACACTAATGACTAAGTTGTGAACCAAGCTCTAAAAACTCCTAAAGTAGTAATTACACCACTTATTTTCAGCAAATTCAGTGCATCTCTAATATTTGTATGCGGAGACCTTATCAAAGTAGCTCCAAGGTTTTTTCCATTCCCTTTTATCTGAAATCACTCTTTTACCGACTGCTCCAGTGAAACTTTAAAACTCTAAACCTTCTTTTTTCTTTTCTTTGCAGCTCCTAAATTGGCCATCGACAATCTAGAGAACGGCTATCATGGCATCGTGAAAGAGAACGAGACCGTAGTCGAAGTCACCCCCGTGATCAGGGCCGAGGGGGAGGTTTGCCGCTTCCGCATCGTCAACAAGCACCATGGGGAGGCGCCATTCGATATCGTCCTCAAGGATGACGGCTACGCAGAATTAAGGGCTAAAAGGGTCCTGAACTGCGAGAAGAGGAAGAATTACAAGTTCGACATCGCCGCCGTAGGGTGTAATGGTAAACAGAGTGTCAGGTTAGTATCAGTTTAGTTAATATGACACAAGAGGGTAATTTTAAGTTTCAGGTTAACCTAAAATATTTTATAATTAACAGAAAAACTTCACATATTTAACTATATTGTATAATATATGACTTGGGGGAACTTTATTTCTTGGAACTCCAATATTAAATGAATATAAACAAATAAATTTGAACTATATATTTATAAAATTTTTACATATTTATACTACATATATATATATATATATATATATATATATATATATATATATATATATATATATATATATATATATATACAGAGTCGCTCAAAAGTCTGGAAATGGCTAATTATCTCGTAAATTACTAGACATAATTATACAAAATTTGAGAATTACATAAAATCAAGTGAACATATGGTTGAACTCGTATTGAATAGCTGAACTCGAGTGAAATTCACACTGAATGCGTGAAAACCATACTCAAAGACCACAAAAATTAAATGTATGGTCAGATATAGTAGTTACTTATTCAATTGGGTCATTTTTTGTCGAAAGAAATTTAACGTCAGATAGTTGGTGTAAATGTTCGGCGATATTTAGATGAGATATTTCCTGGACGATAAAATGGTAGACAAGGTAGAATTGAATGGCCTCCACGTTCATCCGATTTCAATCCTAAAGATTATTTTTATTAGGGATACTTGAAAAATTCAGTTTACAAAACTTAACCAGCAAGTCTTGCAGAGCTAAGGCAACGAATTATCAATGAATCTGGAATAATTTCTAGACAATCATGGATTGTCTTCTACCATCGATTAGGGTGCTGTCAACTCACAAATTAAGCACATTTTGAACACTTAATATAGTAACTACTATGTTAAAAAATGTTCTAAACTATCAATTGTTATGTTTTAATGTATTTGAAAATAGTATAAAAAAATTATTGAAACAATTTAGGCGTTGCCAGACTTCGGTTTTATGTATTTTTGACCTTCCAGAGTACATAAAATCATAAGTGTTTACATATGGTTTAACTCATATTGAATAGGAGATTCCAATAATGACTGAATATACAGGGTGATGTATTTGAAAAACCAAAGTTACTAATAATATAAGAAAAACGGCAAATTTGGCATCATTGTAAATATCAAATATGGAATCTCCGTATCCCAAAATAGGTGTACCCCAAATTTTGTATAATTATGATTAGCATTTTACGAAATAATTAGCCGTTTCCAGACTTTTGGGCCACTCTGTATATATATATATATATATATATATATATATATATATATATATATAAATATATATATATATATATATATATACATATATGCTGAAGTTTTGAAACAACCCGACGCGACGGTCTATTAGTAAAGGGTTTGTTAAACAATAAACCTAAGAATATTAACAAATATTTGCCTCTAAAACATTTGACAAAAGTAACATAACCCTAAAAATATTTTTTTTTCTTCTATTCTCTTGCGTGAAAGGCTAATCTTCAGTACTGCATTAATCCAAGAGCTTAAGCTAACACTCCCCCTTGTTCAAGATTTGACAACACATAGGAAAACAAAGACCTTAACAAATTTAACAAATTTAAACAAATACAAATTAGAAAATACATAGTTTAAATTGACAAATTCAACCTATTAAATAAATTGTTAAAAACTGACTTTAACAACGCTTTGGTGAACAAATCAGCTAATTGATTGCTTGAATTGGCATAGCTTACACAAATATGCTTGTTTTCATACTCATGCCGAACAAAGTGAACGTTAATATTAATATGTTTTGTTCTTCTATGAAATTGTGCTTGTGTTAGATTAATGGCAGATTAATTATCAACAAAGATGTTGGTGAGACCTCAATTCCAATTTCTTTTAAAAAATGTTAAACCCTAAAACTTCTGTAACACCAAAAGCCAAGGACACATACTTTGCCTCTGTGGTTGATTGTGGCCCTATGTTCTGGTTTTGACTCTTTGAGGTAGATGTTCTTGTATTAGACAGCCAGCATAATCTGTTTCAGTGTAACCTATTATCTCAATTTGTGTAGTTTTTCTATACATAATTTTGTAATGTTTTAGATATTTCAGATATCTAAAAATTGGTTTCACTACTTTCAAATGTTCATTACTTTAACCATTAAACAAACTTCTTACCTGCTTAACTGCAAATGTAATGCCTTGGCGACTGGGGGTTGCTAGAAATATTAATGAACGAACAGTCTCATTATACGGTAAAGATTAATTACAATTTGAAGTATTTCCTTTATAAAAAGGCCCGCTAGACTCTGAAAGATCTACGTATTCCACCACATTAAATTTTTCCATTCGGTTCTAGAAATCCACACCTTTTTAGAAAGTGATAGATAAAGATTTTATCTGTCATATCTCCCACTGAAAATAAGCTTTGACTAAGTTCAGGAATATAGAACATTATTTATAGTACGAGCATATCACTTATCTTGGACAAAGGCATGTATTTCAATCGCACCTTTATCTTCTACAGGATTAAACTTATTTGCTATTTTAACAAATATGAGTTCACCTAGAGATTCTAATTTTGGAAGCAAACATATTTCTTCAGTCATATGTAGGCTTGCTCCTGAGTCACATATCCACTCACTTTGATTTCACTGGAGTTTGACAAGTACATGGAAGAAATATCAAAAATGTAAGCTGAACTTGATGCTAAATTACTTCCTGATGACTTATCTTATATATATTCTCATATATATATATATATATATATATATATATATATATATATATATAATATATATATATATATATATATATATATCGCAAAAAGGAGTACGACCGTCTATCCAATATAAATAAGGATCACTCAGACGAGTGGTGGGTTCAATTATCGGTCAACTAGGTGGAGAAATAAAAGCCAAAGTTGATACTACTTCATCTATTTTGAAGACGTTTCGCTATCGAATTCTGATAGCATCATCAGTTCATCTAAAAAATTTTACATTATGAGTACCACACATTCATGAAGAAGATGTTAAATAGTTACCTTAAAAAAGATATGTAGTTGTCAATGGTATTAAAAAGGCAGTACAAAAACTCAAATAAATGGACATCATATGGTGATATTGTATAAACAATTAAATAACTAACAACATTTAGAGACTTAGTAAAAATTAGCAAAGCAACAGAACACGTGGTCTAATAAGCATATAATATTTAATATAATATTAACTAGTGAAAAAGAACTAAGAAAATCATTGATTCATTTGTTTAGCTTAGTCATTGCTTTCGCTCCTCGTGTTACATCTTTTAGTTTATTCTCTCTAAAATTAGAATTACACTATAAGAATATATATATATATATATATATATATATATATATATATATATATATATATATATATATATATATATATAAGAATATATTTATAGAAGAAATTATGTGTATGTCGAACATCTTATACCCGAAATTCCTAAGTCAAGATTAAGAACCATAGATAATCTTAAAATATTTTTCCACCGAACTGTAGTCTGTGGGTATTTCCGTATTTACCTGTTCTCGCTCCTAAACAGAAAATTATAATAAATAATTAATATTTAACTTATCAATTAGTTTTAACATTTTAAGAAGTCGCAGTCGGATGAAATTTGCCTTGTATATAAATAAAATGGAAATTAAAAAATATTTATATAGTTCGGTATTATTTATTTTATATAATAATTAATTGCCGTCGGGTGACATCTCCCAATTCTGTAAATTTTTACTGTTATTTGTTTTTGTAAACGGTGAGACTAGCGATGAAGATGGTCGTCTTTTATTTTCGGATGTTGCTTCTAAAACTGTCTCGTATGTCAACCTGTAATTGAAACAATGCGTCAATGCTAAAAATATCCTTCAGTATAAATAGGTAATTGTTATAAAATATGATAATAACCATGATATCACTCCGACACGAAGTGCATCAGCTATAAAAATCAGCGTCCGAATTATGTATAACAAAACCGAAAGACTTGACTCATCCTAATCCAACATCCAAGTTCATTTCTCGAAGTGAATTTTGTAAGTAATGTGGAACATATTTCGTTGGCAAGTTTAATGCCAGGAGGATTATGTGCCAAGAGTGAATCACACAATGGTTTGTTTCTAGGTAGATTGTGAGGTCAGGCGGCGCGTTTACTTTTGGTAGAAAACGATACGCTGGTTGAGGTGTCCGAGAAGATTTAGACTTGACTTAATGCTCTAATTGAAAGTAATTTGATGTTTACAGAAATTATTGTATTTGACTCTTTTTAAGTACGATTTAATTATGATTGTCTGAGTTCAAAACGGCAGTTTTTTAAACACAATTTTTATCAAAACAAATAGTCTTGTTTTCATGAAAGATGTTCTGATGATAAAAAATGCTTTAAATATAAACTGCGAGGCATAAGTTAGGGAAGCTGTTTCTAGTTTATAACCCCATGAAGTCAATAGAAAAGGCGTATTATCTCGTGGGTATCAAAACTTTTACTGCTTCATGACATTTTAAAGCAAAAAAAGAGACTTTTTTCATTCATTTCAATATTGTGAAAAAACTACGCATTCTAGATAAAAACGTTCAACAGACGACTTTCTTGAAAATACGTAATACTAAAATGCTCTTTAAAATGAGATTTTCTGAATTAAAAAATGTTTATAAACAAAAAAGGTATTGCAAATTAAACCCGAAAGTAAGCATGTTTTTCAATTGTTTATAATTATTAAAATAAACAATAAAAACATTTAAACATATTTTATAATGTGAGTTATGTAGTTACTACATTTGCGAAAGATGGTCACAATCGGTCAAGTAGTTTTTAAACAATTATATTTGTTTCTCTCATTTGAGAGAACAAAGGTCTGTACAGGTGCTTCGTCAATACTTAGTATACTATACTATATATATAGTATGTAGTAGTATATATTTGTATACTATACTATATTATATACAGATTGAACCAAATTAAAACGGAACATACAATTTAATACATGTGTGTTTGAACTGCATTTGAAATAGTGGACCAATA